TTAACCTCTCTGGTGGTATGATTATTTCAGATTTTTGATGCTGAAAGTAGTACCATTATTTTGCATGGAAATTTGGCGTTTTATATTGTAGGCCTGTAATTCTTATGAATAACTCACTGAAATCTGTCTGAACAAGAGTCTAGAAAACATCCCGGGTAGGATAAAACTTGAAACACAAAATCATAAATTATAATTTAATAAATAATCATAAAAAATAATAATATAATAATAATAAATTTAATTCAATAATATAATCAAACCAAAAACACTGAAATTTGAAATATAGCGCCAAGTTCGCACATCACTGAGCAAAGTCGCAAAATCGTTTTCAGTGTCTGATGATGAATTTCCCCACAAATTATTATCACTCAATTCTGCAAGTGGTTCTGATTTACTATCGCTGTTCTCTAGCTGGTCTAAAACAACTTTTGACCTAAAGGGACGCTTTTTGGACGCCATGGACGTTTCTCAGTTTCCAGGCAATAAGAACAGTAAAAATGCAGGCAGGGCACAGGACAAAGCACTAGGGACAAAATGTATGTGAAATGGTTTGATACAGTAATGTTTTACTATGTGATTTTAGTGAATGTCACTTTTTGTCAATTCATGCTGTTCCGTCCCCCGTATGTCCCGACACTCGCAGGGGACGGAACCCAAAAGACAGGTGCCGGCATCCGCCGGATTACATTGCCGGGGACACTGCAGGAGGGACATCGCGGGAGCGCAGGACAAGGTAAGTGATCGAGGGATCGCGGAGCAGTGCCGAATGGTATTCCCGAGTGTAGCTCGGGGTTACCGCTTGTGGTACTGAAACTTTACCCTGAGCTATACTCGGGAATACCGCCAGGGAGGTTAAAGAACATTTTCAACAACTTGGTTGTTTTATGTAATATATACCCTTTAATCATTCACCTAGGGAGGATGCCAGATATCTGGCTGCCTTCTTATTCTAAAGGGCCAGATGTCCTCAACATTGGGAGTGTACCTTGGGGGGGAGGGGCAGCCAAACCCCTATCCCTTGCATCAACACTCTGTGCCCCAAAAAGGATATGGGGCTCTGCAGTGGGGATTTATCAGAATCTGGCAGTCTCATATAGAATAGCCTCTTGATATCCAGCCCCAGATATCTGGACTCCCCTCATAAATGATTATGAGGTACATACCCCTTGTAACTCATTCACAAAGAAGTAAATGGTAAATAAAAAAACACCGGCTCCACAGAAATAAATAATGTCCCCTGATGCAAATATAATGTCAATCACGTCACCCAGCGATGTGGATCAACGTCAATCATAATGTTTTTTACAGCATGATATTTATATTCCAGTGCTGTCATGAAGTTGTCATTTGTGATAGGAGTAGCCACAGGAGGCAGCATCATTGTGGCAGCAGGTCATTGTGGTGGTGGGTTTACATTGTTGAGACCCGTTGTGATGATGTTGCACCAACATTACTCCCATCACAAATAATTGCTCCCCAGGACTGTGGGATGTACATACAGAGCAGTTAAACCTGGGTGACATCATAGAGCAAAATAACCTCACCCAGGATCCTTGCTAGCTTGTTTACAATTGCTGTTGTTTAGAAGCTTTAGTTATACCACTGCCAAATATGGTCATTTTGTTCATCCATTCACCAAACTGCAAACAGGCTAGGCTTGGGTCAAATTCATTTTCAACTGAAACTGAAGCTTATCCCTACTCTTCTTGATAGTGGTGAGGTGATCTGCCTGGGCTTGACCTTCCCCTATGGTCATATTCATGTAGTTTTGTTGATTCGCTTGTGGGAAAAATATGGATCCACCAGTAATCAACCCAGCTTAAAGTATAACTCATTCAAATGTCTACATTTGTTAGTTTCTATCCCTAACACTTCCTGGCTCATTGCATTTTCCTGACCTTACATGTTTTACACACTTTGGGTATTTATGTACCTCATTACTTTTAGTAGCTTGTTTCTGGTTTCCAGGTACCTGCTTGAACCCTTGCACCCAGTTCAGCTGTTCAGTTTGCAAGAACTGAATTTTCTCTTAGCTTAGTAAATGTGGTAAAAATTAACTTTGCAAGATTACTCAATCACATGCAGAAAGAAAAAAATAGAGTATTTTTGCTTGCACATGGTTGAATGATGGAAGCAATAGTTGTTTGCTACTTTTAACATACGAAATTAACAAAATTTTGGGCGGGAATGCCCTCATTTTAGCATGCAACTGTATGTCTATCATATATCCCCTACACATATTTCTGCTTTTACTTCAAAATTTTTATAGAAATGAAATGATGACGTCATCATTTTTCAATGTTTAAAGTGGTTATATAGCCTAACCATTTTTTACCCATAATGCATTCCCCTCCTCTTTTACTTACCCGAGCCCTCATTCAATCGAGCACTCTGCAGCTTTTCTCTCCCTTTAGATCTCACAGGGTTTGCTGGGTCTCTGGGAGTAATAGGTTCCCATTTCTGTCAATAAAACCCACTGAAAAGGGAGGTGGGGGTGGGGCTACGTCCTGCTGTCTGTGCCAATGGATGCAAACAGCAGGGCTTAGGAGCAAGCACGCACAAGAAGCCTCTTCCTATGGGGCACTGGACAGAAGGGAGGAGCCAGGAGCTCCAGCGGGGAACCTGAGAAGAGGAGGTTCAGGACCACTCTGTGCAATTCTATTCCAATTCCAGGTGAGCATGAACCTGTTTGTTTTTTTTGTTTGTTTTTTTAATTACTTTTACAACCACTATAAGCTAACAATAGATGAAAATTCAATCTGAAATAATTTTCATGTGCAGTTACCCTTTGTCCTGCTTCCTTGCCCTCATGACATTGTATATACACTGACAGACCCCAAAGAAAATTGTACATTTTTTTTGTTGCAGTCTGCCTAGGTTTGAATAGAATTTGAGTTCAGTGGTGCTGTGTACTCTGACATCTATACTTTAAAGCCCTCCCAATGTGCCTGGCTGTACCTATACCTAGCTTAAGCTGGCCATAGATGGATCGAAATTTGGCCAGTTCTTCAGGGACCATTCAAATTTCAATCCATCTTTGGGCAGGCTGGTTATACAGAAGTTGATCTCTCAATTGCCTTCTGTACAACCAGCCTGTTGGAAAATATTCACTCAATCAGTGCCACTGGCTATAGCGAAGGGTGTTGATGAGTGTATTCTGACACCAGGGAAGCTTTCCCATTCTCGGAATACAATAGCTCCACAGTAGGGATTCCCCCATCCACCTTGAATGTATGAATCTGGGATTAGATTCATTTTCTTTTTTTTAACTCACTGGTTGAACGAAGGAAAGTGTTTCATGTATGGTTTACCATAGAACACATCCCAGACTGGCCGTCTTTCATTATCTGCTTACAGATGAAAAATCAATGTACAGACTTGTCAATTCAAGGCACTTCAGTATCTGGACATGTGACGGTGACACACAAGTGTCTTATCCTGCATTTTCTTTGCATGTACTTTGAACTTTGAAACTGAGTTTTTGATTGGGGTATTAGTGCACAGTCTATGCAGGAAGTGAAGCAGAATAGTAACTGTATTTTCCATTCCTGCATTTCCAAGTCTGTATAAAATGTTGGCCTTGCTAAAAGAGCTTATACATGTTAAAGGAAAATGTTTCATTTCCAATGTAGTACTATAATAATGTAACCATCTTTTTTATATAAAGTATATTAACTGTTAAAAATCCATTTGTCCTACATGCTTCTAAAGTCAATCATTATAATTTGCCAAAAAATCTGACTCATTTTGTAACGCTATATATTACAAATGTTTTGTTTCTAAAGGACGCTACATTCCAGCATGTGATGAAGATGGCTATTATAAATCAACTCAATGTCATGTTAGTATTGGTCAGTGCTGGTGCGTTGACAGATATGGAAATGAAGTGACAGGATCCAGGAAAGTTGGCTCAGTGGAATGTGGTAATTTTCTTTTATGTTCTCTTAGATGAGTTAGATGAAAATACTGTGTTACAAAAGGACAAAATGTTTTACCTACTCTGATACTACCAATATAATTAGGAGTGAATGCTTAGATTTATGTTAATGTTTTCCTTTTTTATACATATGAAACACCCTGTCCTGTGTTCAATTGAAAACCTTAAAGTAGAACTTCACTCTCTCAATCGACATCGACTATTTTTAGTCTCTATGTTGCTAGCATTAGTAAATAGATAGGAAAGTATATCATATTTACTTGTTTTAAAAATTTTTTACATTTCTTCAGTTATGTCCTGGTTTTCAGGCCTAGGTAATTGACATCATATATCCCAGATGCCTTTAGGAAGGGAGGAGGAGATTTATTAGCCAAGCACAACCTCCTGCCTGCATTCATGAGCTAAGGGCAGATGGATTCCAACTATTTGTTTACATTTCTTCAGTTACTTCCTGGTTTTCTGCCTAGACAAATTATGTAATTCATCCCATGAGTCTTCTGAAGGGGAGGAGAGCTAAGCAAACCCTCCTGCTCCTCTATGCCTGAGCTAAGGGCAGATGGATTCCAGGAAGTCAATGCTACACAAATCATCTGCCCTTACTCAACATGGCCACGGCCAGAAATACTAGGGGATGTTTTTCAAAGTATTTCTCAGCAAAATAAAGCATAGAGACATGGATGGATGGGTGAGTTTGCTTTGAATATTACAAATGAATTAAACAGTGTTTTGGTTTGTGTTGCTCAGGTACATTGTAGTTCTGCTTTAAGCAGTCTCTTATCTTTGCTTTTCTTGAACCTGATTTGATGTGAACACATACCAGCGTGAACGTTATAAATGAACTTCCTAATTGTTGTTGGAACAAAATATATACTTTGTGAATGCAAAAAAAAAATTATTTCATTTTGTTGCAGTCATAGAATATACATAATGCTGTACATATTAAACTGGACCTAAAGTGCAGCTTTGTTATGTTATATGGGAGATATAAAAACATTAATTGTACATAAGCAGTACCCTGAAAAAAATTACATAATTGTTCTTAATCCCTTATGAAAGATAACAGTGCAATTTCCAGTACTTGAGTGTCTAGACCAGGGGCGGACTGACCATTTGAGCACTCGGGCACTGCCTGAGGGCCCGGGGTCAGTAGGGGGCCCCATGAGATGCCCCTGGTACCTTTTTCATAGGCTTTTTTGAGTTTGGACAAGGACACAGGGGCCCCATGATCCCCTATTGCCCGGGGGCCCCATGAGTTGTCAGTCCGCCCCTGGTCTAGACATTCCTTTGTCTATAGCCTTATAGCTGTACACATGCAGTGTCATATCTAAGGCATTACTGCTTCTCACAGCCAGGGGCGGACTGACCATTTGAGCACTGCCTGAGGGCCCGGGGTCATTAGGGGGCCCTATGAGATGCCCCTGGTACCTTTCCTTGGCTTTTTCATGAGTTGTTAGTTGTCCATGTGTTGTCAGTCCGCCCCTGCTCACAGCTAATCTTAGGAGATTGGTGATGTCACTACTGTGTTGCTCACTGTTCTCCTTTCTGAAGACTCATACACGAGGAAACAAAACCCTGCCTTTACCCAGTTAGCAACCTCCATACATAATTTTAGTGCAGAACAATACATGGAAAGTCAGTAACAAAGGAAAGATCAGTTTCAGAAAGGCTACAGGCAATATTGTTGACTAGTCCTATGCCCTCTGCTTGTCCTTTCTTATGTGGTTGATATAGAAAAAGTGCAAATGAATAGTGCTTATTATTTATTTACTGTGCGCCCTCGCTCCCTGTCTTGGTTGTGACACAGGAAGTTAGATGAAATCTACATTAGTGGCATCACAGACAACATTGAAATATGACAAAATACTAGACTATTTTAGTACTATCCAAAATTTAAAAAAAAATGTTGGCCTAAGTTGGCCTTTAAAACCTGTATATTTATTAACTGCCCATAAATTGAAAATCCATACAAAATTGACAGGAAGGGTTAGAAACTCTGTACAATTTGTATTGCTGTGTGTTCACTTTATGAAGATTCTTCATAATTCCCAGACATAGTGGCTAGTTGGGGTTGAGTGTGGAAAGTTAGAAACTTTGATAAATTCTTCCTATAGCTATGCTAGAGAGGCATCGAGAGATACTTTCCAGAGGCCTAACTGCACACAGTTTTCTTTACCAGTTGTTTGGTGTATATAGGGTTGACCCATAGTTTTGTGGATGATGCACAAATTAGACCTGTAATCTGGGGGCTGTTGTATAAAATAGACCTTTAGTCTGGTGGTTTAATATATGAAGCACATCTGTAATCTGGTGGATGGTAAAAACAAGCTCAATCTTACCAGTTCTATGACAGGAAGGTTGACAACCATCCCTAATACACAGGAAGCCACAGAAGGAAATCTTTTTCTATATACAAAATAAATCTTGAAAATGTGTCCCATCAAACATGTGAAGATTAAATTGTCACATAAATAAACTCACGTTTACAGTCACATAAATAAACTCCAAATTTGTACTACACAAGTGCTGGAAAAATTATCTAATGATTTATTTTGCGTCTTGGGGATTCTGGTAGAAAGCACTTCCCTGGTCTATACACCTGCCAAGACATTTATAGGGTAACCTTATACTCCTCACTGGATTTTGTAAAGCAACATGAGTAGCAGGAACAAAAAATATAAGTAAGAATACCCAAACAGAGCCAGTAATGTTGATAATATTGCAGTCCTAATGATATATAAGAAGCCCACAGGTAGTTCAAGCAGAACTCCAGCTTATCTTTCCTTCTGTCTCTAACCTCCCCCTCCCCTCTTTGATGCCCTGACACTTTTAAAAAGGTGTTTAATACATACCTTTAATCCTGCAGTCTCCTGGCCAGCACATCAATATCATGGATCCTTCTTGTTCTCTTACAATTCCAACAACAGGCAGTCCTTACTCCTGGATTAAGTATCGTTCACATAATGACATGTGATTGCTGCTCAGTCCAAGAGTACCATGAGCCTAAGCTGCATAATAATGTTCCCCTAGGGGGTGGGTCCATGACAGCCTGGGATCACTGGCAATAGGTTGAACATTGCTGGCCATCATTCAACCCAGAAGAGGTAACTCCAAATTGGCTTTTATGGTTAAAATAAAATGAATGGTTAAAAACACTTACAAGATGGAGGAAATAACAGGCTCTTAATAATCCATCAGAATGTGGCATCCCACTGTGCCGGCCAGCAACTGCAGGGGGAGCTCAGGATAAAGTGTCAAGATGGCCACCGCTCTTCTGGGAATGCTGGAGTGCACGCTGGAATGCACACTGTCCAGGTAGAACGCAAACTGGAAGTGACATGAGCTTGGGGTACTGACGTGTTTCGGAGCATGCGCAGCACTCCTTCTTCAAGACCGATCCCAAGGAGATATACGAGCCTCATAAACAGGGAAGAGGGGCAGCAACGGGGTAGCCTGGGAAAATAGTATGTGCATGCCCCCTGAAGACTAAAGAGTGTGGAGGGGGGGTGAAACCATAAGTCAAACCAAAGCCTTTATGTGTTGTGCAACAATGTATTTATCTAATTTATTTACCATAATTTATACATTTCTATTTTATGCTTGTCCTTCATCATATGTCCACTTATGTTGTTTTATATTTTATGATTTATTTTTTACAGTTTATTTTCTATTTTTCATTTATCATATTGCATCAGGGTTGCTCATGCGTTATCTGTGCATGACACATGAGCACCACTTCTTATCGAGGTACATGGGGTACTCTGTCACTGTGTACCAGCATCCTGTGTATAGACTTATTTCCCCCCCTTTTTATTTTTTTATCTCCATATATAGTTCTGTATCCTCTTATATGGGTTTTAGCCAATTTGCATCCCGTTTTTTCATGTTTTCATTAAAGTCCTTTTTGCCCACACTCTGTAGTCTTCCGGGGACGTTCACATACTATTTTCCCTGGCCACCCAATTCCCACCCCTCCTCCCTATTTTTGAGGCTCTTCTATCTCCTTGGGATCGGTCTTGAAAAAGGAGCTCTCCGCATGGTCAGAAACATGTCACCGCCCCACGCACACATCACTTCCAGTTTGAGTTCCACCTGGACAACGTGCATTCCAGCGCGCGCTCCAGCATTCCCGAAAGAGCAGCAGCCATCTTGACACCTCTCCTGAGCTCCCCCTGCAGCTGCTGGCCAGCACAGCAGGGTGCCACATGGTGGATAGAGCCCCGCACTCTGACGGATTATTAAGAGACTGTTATTTCCTCTATCTTGTAAGTGTTTTTAACCATTCTTATTAAAGCCAGTTTGGAGTTAGTGCACATAGAAGCACCTTCTTGTCCCATCTTTCCTCCACTCAGAGTTTGCTTCATACTCTCAGAAGTGCTGCCCAGTGCATGTTTCCATTCCAACCTACTACTGCCTGTCATCTCCTAATCCACAGTCTCCTCCACAGATGCGACTTGTGAATATTTTCTTTTTTAACCCAGAACAGGTCCTGCTGTTGGCTGCAGAGCAGGATACAGATGGCAGTGCTGGAATGTAGAAAGGAGAGGTTGCCTGTTTACACCTTTTAATTTAATAATGGGTTGAGGTGGAAAAAAATAGAATGTTACACTTTGAGTTCCCCAGACTCAATCTATAATTGAAATGTAATGTTTCTAGAATGGTGTACTCTAATTCTTTACAACAGTCAGGTCCTGATTTAATTCCTCACTGGCACAAAATCCTGAACAGTGGACACATGCATACTCTGCAAAGAATTGTGTAAAATTCTGGTTTTATCTTAAAAAAAAGGTAAAAGGAAAAACTGTCATGGTTGTGAATTTTGGATATAAAATTAATATTTTGTTGGCCCTTTGTTTATTGTAATGAAAAAAATGAGTGTTTTTTTAAAAAAACCTAAATAAGTAATTATTGATGTATTTTTATGGCAGGCAGTGATTCAGACACATCAGGGGATTTTGGAAGTGGAGACTTTCATGACTGGTCTGATGATGAAGACGATGATGAAATGATGAACGACGAAGATGAGATTGAAGATGATGATGAGGATGAAGGAGGTGATGATGATGAAGAAGATGAAGATGGATATATTTGACATAACATAATGCAAGATAATTCTATTTTTCATGTCTACAAAGTAAAAGACATCCCCTAGGAAATACCTTTTGCTCACATCGCCACCAAGAAAAAAAGGATTTGAAAAGAAAACTAAACATGTATATTTTGTATGATCATATCAGTTATTAAAGCTGGAGTCATAGACTTATGTTTCAGAGTCATTTATGTGCTTTTGAGCTTTTCTATGCTTTTGGCAAGAAGAAAAATGCATTGGAAGTATAACCTAAAGAAAATAAAACAACCGGCGCGTCAGTTGAAGAAAAAATAATTCAACAAAGTGTAAAGGTAGTGGCCGTTGACTAAATGGCTGTGCGTTTCCTTAATGAGTATTAAGTAAGAAAAGAGTATTAAGTAAGAACTTACGTTAGTGAAAAACTCTGACAATGAAAATTTTCCTCTTTTTTGTTTACATTTATTTCCTCAGCTTATACAGAAATGTGTTTGTTTATTGTTTAGTGGGCTTTTAGATTTGTTGTCTTATTATGTTAGCTTTTTCTTCTTATTATTTTAGAAGCATTGTATGAGTTTTGTTATTAGCAGAGCAGCATGATGATAAGTATAATCTAGCCAACACAATTCTTCTCTGAAAACTGTTTACTTGAGCAGGTAATCAGCACCAGTCATATAATCAAGAATATGCTACAATATGTATGAGCATTGTCATATGCAGTTAGCCACTAGCTCTGTTCCATATATACTATAAGCCTTTCTTGTATTCTTCTTTGACATCCCTACTAAATTGAAATAATGTTCCACTGGTTCCACAATAAGAGCAGCGGTTAAAAAAACACAGGTTTACATACTGTGTTAGATTTACTGTTTGAAGCAGTTTGAGTTTGAACTTTTGTATTTCATTTTGTTTTCTCATTTTTTACATACTATAATTTTAGTTATGCAAATTAGCAATGATTGTAGTGGAGGTTTTATTTCAGTATTATGGATAAATCCTACATAAATGCAATTGCAAGTTGGGACCAACTGGAAAAGGTTGCCTGAGTGTTTTAAAACCAGAAGTATATTTCATATTATTATTTTATTCATTTTGTTAGTATATACTAATATAGTGTTTTTATTATATTCAGTGGCACCAGAATGTTAGGAGTTGTAGTAAAAAAGAAAAAAAAATATTGGTTTATGCCTGCACACTTTCATACCTTTCAGCCTAGCAGAAAAACATATTATACTTAATATTTATAAATAAGATTGCATTTAAAATCTTATTTACTTAGTTAATTTGAAGTATGTACACATATTTTTTTAAACTCTACTATTAAGTGGAATTTGTAGTTATGAAATATTTGACTCATGCTTTCAAACTAATGCTTATTGACAGCTACACAATTTCATAAGAAAGAAGGCAATATCTGGGTAAGAAAGTACAGTAGGAAGGTAGTGTACCTTTCAAGTCAAGTCATTCAAACCTGTAAAGTATTGTCTATTTGTTAAATTGATAATTCATTATTATACATTACTACATCCTAG